AGATTGTATTTTGATAGTTGTCTATGTTATCTTGAAATGACATTCCGTGTGCCTATACCTTAATTTGAAAAGCTAGTCTTTCATTATAACACTGAATTCAACAAGAGTTCTTTAGAAGATTTAAAGCAGTAAGAGAGTAAATAGAGGAACATTCTGACAAGTTTGGAAGTGACGCCTTTAAAAAACAGGATGGACTTCCAAATTTGCTGATTTATTAATTGAACATTTATTGGATGCTCCTGCACCAGACACTGACAGCACAAAGATGAACAGATTTCTGGCCGGTCTGTGGCTATACAAGAGTGATGTTTATTGACCAGGCTGGTTTAAAACTCGTTCTGGTGGTTATTTGTTATTACAGCTACAGAATAGTCAGTCTTAGGTATGTGAGAATTTCTTTTTATTCTCAATATGTATCAAAAGTTGCAAAAACAGTACACAGAAATCCTGTGTACCCTTCAGTCAGCTTCGCTAAATGTTAAAATCTTACTTAAACATAGTCCAGATATTGAAACCAGGAACTTAACATTGATACAATACTATTAACTAATCTACAGACGTCATCAAATTTCACAGTTGTCCCTTCTCTGGCCCAGGATCTAGATCAGAGCACCCTGTGTCTCAGTGTCCTGTTGCCTTCTCTAATCTGGGACAAGTCCTCAGGCTGTCTTTGTCTTTGATGACCTTGACCCTTTTGAAGAACACTGGCTGGTTGTACCGTGTTCCCCAATTTGGGTTTGTCTGTTTTTTTTTTTTTTTTTCTCATGATTATATTAAGCTTATGCATTTGGGGAAGAGCACCACAGCCAAGGTGTTGGTTTTCTCACTGCATTTTAGCAGGAAGTCTTCGATGATGCTATGACTCATTTTACTGGCGGTTTTAACTTGGATCATTTGATGTAAGGTGGTGGCCAGGTTTCTCTGTTATAAAGTTATTATTTTCCCCTTTGTAGTTAAGTAATATCTTCTGGGGATGTACAGAGACTGTGCATATACTCTGTTTCTCATTGTATTTTCACCCACTAATCTCAGCATCATTGGTGATTCTTTTTTGCAGTATTCATTACTGTAATTTTTGCCAAATGGTGAGTTTCTGTTTCTACCCTTCCTTCTAGGGTTTTTAAATTGGAAGTCTACTGTAAGAAAGAGCTGTCCACACCACATTGTTTATGCGGGTCATCTGTGTAGTTCTGTGAAATTGTACTTTTGTTTATTTCACTACTCACAGTCTGACCAGCTAATCCTTCTCCTATCAGGGTTATGAGATCTTCATCCAGCTCAACTTTTCAAAAACATTTCCTGCCCCTCCCCATCAGTAGTCCGTTAGCATGTGAGTATCTATCTTGGTGCTCATAGTTGGAGGTAAGACTGAGGAAGTTAGTTGTTGGTGGCATTAATGTTAATATATTACTTAGTAGAAGCAAAAGGATGGTTTTATTTGGGGCATGTTGTAGTTAGCTGCTGCTCAGAAATCCATGGAGTGGCCTAGAGCAGAGACGTGGAAATGTGTCAGGACACAGCCAGGCTCTTAGAAGAGCAGCAGAAGTATGAGGAAGACGGTGAGTTTCACGGAGGAGAAGGGAGTGGCGATGCTGGTGCGAGCGGGCGGATAGGCTGTGGGCTTCAGGTGCTGCGGTTTAAGGACTGGGGTGAGGTGTTTGGACTGGAATTAAAGTGGGAGGCCTTGAGCAAAGTTTCCGTAGGGTTGTGAGGGGGAATATGCTAGACGGTAGTGGGCTGAAGCAGGTACGATCTAAAGACCTTGCCCACCCCCGTGACCAAGATCAACTTACGTTCCTCTCTGTTTCTAAGCACAGGTGCCTTCTCTTAGTTTCATTCTGCCTCTGGGCATTCAGGCATGTTGAAGTGGAATCCCAGGTCTGCCTCCTAATAGCTGTGGCACCTTGGCAAAATTACCTAATTCCCAAAATTCGTTTCTCCCCCATCTATGAAAATTGGGTGAAATAGTAACCTGGTCACTATTTCTGGCCAGTCCCCTCCTGGCCTCCCTTTGGTGCCTGTTGTCTGCCCTACCTAGTACTACCTGGCTAGGCCTCAGTAATGTGATGTTACTGTGCTGGCCATGGTGCCCCTGGTGCTTCCTTTCTCACTGGGATGAGCACCACCACCATGATGAGCAGAGGGTCCTGTGAGATCTGCAGGCTCCTGATCCCACGCCCCCCGGAAGCCCTGTTACTCACTGCCCTCGGTCAGTGACTATAGCTGCATTTGCCCCCAAGCACCCTCTGGCCTCAGGGCCTTTACACATCCCCCCCCCCCCCCCCGCACATAACTGCATAACTCCCTTCCTTTAGATCTTCCTTCAGGTATCACTGAGTCAGAGTGACCTTCACCAGCTCCCTTTATAAAATAGTACTTCATCACTTGTTACTCCCCTTATTTGCCTTTATCACATTACCTACCACCTCAAAGATACTTATGTGTTTGCTGTCTGGCTTCCATCACAAAAGTAGAGACTCTTTGAAGGCTGGTACTTTGTGCCTGTTTTACTCACTAATGTCTTCCCAGCCTCTCGAATTGTGCCTGTAGGTGGTTAGTGCCAAAGTAAATCTTCGTCGAGTAATGACTGATGAGGTAGATGAAGCGTCAAGATGGTTGTGATGGCGCGCAGTGGCAGCTCATTCGCTTCTCCTGGCGTCCTGATCAGGAAATCGAGGCACAGAGAGGTGATGGCAGACAGTGAACGAGTGATGGAGCCAGAATTCAGGCGCAGGCGGTCTTGATCCAGAGCCCACATTCTCTCTGCTTCTGTGGGGTTGTTGCTGATGAAAAGAAGTCATCTGGTTAAAATGCTGCTCACCATTTCTGTCATATCCTGAGTAGTCCCTAAACGTTAGTTGATGTCATCATCAGGATGCTGGATGCTAAGAGCGTGGAGGTGGAGCCAGGCTGCCAAATGTTTGACTTTTGGACCAGTTTTTTTTTTCTTTAAACCATTAAAATGGAGTAACATTAATACCAAAGCCTCCTGCAGCCTGTTTGATCCTGGAGCTTCCAGCCTGGGAACTGGTTGCTTGCTTTTGCCAGCATTGTTCACCTGGTCTGCTGAATGTAAATAAGTACACTTTTGTTCTTTGATTATTATGTTGATTAAGAGAAATGGTTCATATAAGGTGCCTGGTAAGTCCTAAACTCAAAATAAAGGAACCCTGTTGTGCTTCTACAAGTAGTTGCCCAGTGTAAAATATCTGCGGTGAGTTACTGGAACTCCTTCAGAGAGCAGAAGTACAGTGGAACCTCATTGTTTGGCAATTGTGTCTTTTAATAAGACGGACACTTAAAAATCTCAGCAGAACTTGTGTATGTGTATCTTGCATTTTTTCTGCCCTTAATTGAACCAAAAGAATTGTACTGATTACTTTGCGTTGTTTTCCCTGTGAGCCCAATACATTTTTAAAAGATCAGTTTATGAAACTTGTAGAAAAAATTCGTATCTTTATAACCTTTGTGTAGGCAAATATTTTATAAACAAAACACTAAGATAATTTATTAAAAAGAAAAGGAATAAATAGGACTGCATAAAAATCACAAACTTTCTTCCTCAAAAGATACTGTTAAAATAAAAAGATTTTAAAAATAATTTTTAAAAGGTACCATTAAAATAGTGAAAGGCAAGCCATAGAGTGGGAGAGGATATTCACTAAGTCTAACAAAGGCCTTACGTCCAGAACATGTAAAGAATACCTACAGGGCTTCCCTGGTGCAGTGGTTGAGAGTCCGCCTGCCGATGCAGGGGACACGGGTTCATGCCCCGGTCTGGGAAGATCGTACGTGCCGCGGAGCGGCTGGGCCCGTGAGCCATGGCCGCTGAGCCTGCGCGTCTGGAGCCTGTGCTCCGCAACGGGAGAGGCCACAATGGTGAGAGGCCCACATACTGCAAAAAAAAAAAAAAAAAAAAAAAAAAACCCAAAAAATAAGGGGGGGGGTGGGGGGGGGGGGACGACTCAGTAAAAAAGGGACAAAAGCTTTAATAGACACTTCACAAAAGAAGATAACCAAAAATGGTCAATTATCAAATGAAGAAGTGCCCATTTGTGTTACTCATCAAGGAAGTACTAATTAAAACCACTGTGTACTCTTGCTGTAAATATCAGAGGTCCTAAAATGAAAAGGTTAGAAGTACCAAGTAGAGGTGAGGAATAGTGGAACCAGAGCGCCCCGTGCTGCTTGTGGGAGTGTACATTGGTGCAGCTCTTTACCTTACTCTTTGGTCACATCTGCGCTGCCTAGTGTGTGTGTTCGTTAGGATCCAGTGATGATGCTCCTGGTCTGCATCCAGCAGAGATGTGTACATATGTTCACCAAAAGGCATGCATGTGAGTGTTCATATGGGTGGACACACACATACACAGAATGAGGCACAGAGAGAGCATTCTGGTGAAATTCGTTTGTTTTGACCATTCTTGAAGTTTGGCTTCCTGAGCAAAATTACTTTTTTAGAGGAATATAAAGAGTGCTCGTAGCATTATTCTTAATAGCCCCAAGTTGGAAACTACTCAAACGGCATCACAGTAATGTGGATGAATGATTGTGGTCTATTATACAGTGCAGGACTGTCAGCTATGAGCAAACTGCAGTTACTCGATAGGGAGGAGTCTCACGAGCATATTGGTGAATGAAGGAAGCCAGACACACGGGAGTACATCCTTTGTACCTCCAGGCATGCAGAGCTCACCTCTGGGGAGTGGAAGGTGGTGCTGCCCCTGGGCAGTGGGGCTGGAGGGACTTCTGGGCGCCCTCTGGGCCTCTCATTAGGCTCTGTCTCCTGCAGAATCCTCAAGCTGTAGCATACTCACATGCACGTTTTTGTGCTGAAAAAAAAAACATTTACATTGACGGATTAATTGATTATATTTTAACTTATTTTTAAAATAATATTTCAGAGTAATTGGCAGTGCCACACTCAAAATAATTTTGTAGACTATGAATTGAGAAAATGACTTATTTCTAATTGCTTGATTTTGTTAATTATTTTTTAGATATGAATTGAGAATTCGTTATTTGCCAAAAGGATTTCTAAACCAGTTTACTGAAGACAAGCCAACTCTGAATTTCTTCTATCAACAGGTACAGGAGGATGCTTTAATAACATTTTTTTTCTTTGTTTCTTTGAATCCTATTTATTTCATGGTTTTATTTTAGAATTAGATTACACCTAACATTTGGGAGAATATAAATTTGTCACCGTAGGGCAGTGAGATTCTTATAATTAGTAAGAAATTATGAATTGTTGACACTGAATTTTTGTATGCTTGGGCAAATCTTAAAAGATACTTCTTTTAAGTAGAGACAGGAAGTCCTAAGTGACACAACCATTGTTCTGTCTTTAATTCAAGTGTAATTATGCCTGAATATCAACAAATTTGTCAGATGTTTATTCAGAGCCAACTATACCCGTATAATCTCAATAGCACTTTGCACAACAAAGCAGAATTGACTTTTTTACACTAAAAGGAGCTTTCTTTTTACCCCGTGTTAGTTAGACAATAAATACTTGTGGCATAAATGAACCAAAACAGTTTTCCAGTCAAATAAATGTTACTTGTAAGTATTTGTGAAGAGTTTAAAAAAAGTCTAATGAATATCAGCGAGACATTTGTACATACAATTTTGCAATTAAATACGCTGGGAAATTTTTTATTTTAATAAAATTATTCATTAAATGTCTATTCGGGGTCAAGAATGCAGAAATTAATGACATAATCTGTACTTCTAAATTCCTCAGTCTAGTGGATTGCCTGTAAACAGCATCTTTGTGTTCAATCCCGTGCTGTTTGTAAGCACAAATGGTGTGGCCATGCCTGGGCGGAGGTGCTAACACAGGGGAGGTTTGGGGTCCAGGCGGCTCCCCTGCAAACCGTCCTTTAACGCAGCGGTCTCCAACATTTTTGGCACCAGAGACCGGTTTCGTGGAGGACAGTTTTTCCATGGAGTGGGGAGGGTGGTAGTTCAGGCGGTGATGTGAGGGATGGGGAGCGATGGGGAGCGGCAGGTGAAGCTTTGCGCCCTCCTGCCGCTCACCTCCTGCTGTGCGGCCCAGTTCCTAACAGGCCGTGGGCCGGTACCAGTCCACGGCCTAGGGGTTGCGGACCCCTGCTTTAAGGAGTCTCCAACTTTGTAGGTGAGGAAGAGAGGTACTTTAGAAAACGTGGTGCATTTAAATCTGAGCTAAAATGATTTGAAAGGAAACGGATGAGAGAGATGGGACCACATCATGTAAAGAGAGGGTTTTAGGTTTTCTCCTGCAGATAATTGGGAGCATTTATAGAATTTAAGTAGCAAATGTCATGATCAGAATTTTTTTTTAAATAAGACCACCCTGATGTGATGTCTGTACCCGGGATGGATTGGGTCTTGAAAAGGCTGTAACCTGGTGGGGGCTTGTCACCCATTTGGGCAGGAAGCTAGAAAGCTGGGAGGTCCAACGGTGTGGTAGGAAGCAAATTTAGTGGATGGATTTGCTAGGACTAGAGACTGAACGAACTGGAGCATGAAAATGAAGAAGAAAGAGGCCGACGGCGTCAACCCAGTCACTCAGTGTCAGGAAGGAGAAAAGGTGGGCGGGATTCGGTAGGAGGGCAAGGTACATGGTTTCATTTCTCTGTTGAGGTAAGTGGATATTCCTGCTTTTAAGATCCAGCCTGTGAGAGCAGCATCCAGCTCTTGAGATGTTTTCTTGTCCGTGAAGTAGAAGTCATATAGGAAATGTAAGGTGTTAGGTGAGGTACTTGTGGGAACTTTTGAAGATTTATAATAATACGGAGTCGAATGGGAGAGGGAGTTGCGTTCAACGAAGCAGAGTCCTGTTTGGACTCCAGCTGAGCATGTGTGAGGCCTACTCATTACGGAGCGGTTTCAGTTTACAGGCTGCCTCTCTTCTGCGTCCCTGCGTCTGGCCCTCTAGCCGTCTGCCCAGCTTCATATTTTGGTGAAGGAGGTGACAGAGTTTAGTTAACGGATGTATTTATATTGTATTCTTCTCTCTCGTAGATGATCTATATCACTGGTATCTATATCTATATCCATGACTCCTTTAGTGACATTGATTTCCAGGATGCATGAGACGGGCCTAAATAGCTCTCAGTTATTCCTTTTTATAATTTCTAGGCTAACCTAAAAGTTGGCAACTTTTATGTTCCTTTCACACTGTTACTAGGTTGTCCTACTTTTTCCTTTCGGAAGACCTTGCTTCTGTGTATATGATTAAAAGCTAGCACACGTACCGGTGTATCCCACATTTCCTCTTACTAATAGGACGTATCTTACTGCAGTCTGTGATTCGGGTGAGTGGCCTCTATAAAGCCCGAGAGGTGTGAGGTGTCGTTAGCCCGCATACTGTGCCTGTTCTGCATCTCACAGCTCTGTGACTCCAGGTGCCTCCCTTAGTTTCTTCACATGTAGGTATATAACACCTCCTGCATAGGGTCTTTATGTTGATTAAGTGAGGTCTGATTGTCTACCATATACCTGCCCAGTAACACATGGAATTCAGCCTGTACACAGTGCCAGGCTTTAGAGGATTCAGCGTTTCCACTTGGGTGTCCCAATACAAATGTGAGCCGCACACTGTGGGATGGGACACACCTCTTCCTTCCCATGTGCTCTGTATGCAAACCTTCCAGCCCCTCCACCCCACCTTCTGGTTTCATCCATTTCTAGAACTTCTCTTCTTCAGCCTGTCCCCTTTTAAATATTTTAAAATTGTTAAATCTTATGTTACAGTTTTAGAAAGTCCAGAAAATATTCTAAAACGTCACTTAAATTATCTGTCCTAATAATTACTTTCATTTTGTATATGCTTTTATAATATCCTACCAAGTACTTGTAATTTAAGGGAAATAGAAGTGTGGTCATAGTAACACCTCTTTCCCGTGTTGATGGCCGGTGTTACTGCTTATCCAGGCCTATAACTAGTGAACTGTGGCTCTGTTCATGGGTATGGAAGTTGTGATGTTAAATGCTACTGTTTAAAACAGGCCATATAAAAAATAAAGCGTGTAATATAGTTCCATTTATGTGAGAAAAATGTACATTTATTTTACCCTCATCTGACAAAGTTTTAGAAATAGTATGATTTTTGCATTGCTGCTTTGGCAAGTAATTTTATATTTATTTGACTTCTTGTGATAATCTTCCAGTGCAGAGTCTATCCTGGTCTGTGCATGGAAGTTCTAGAACTAGAATTTCTTTCTTTCTAGAACTATTAGAGGTGATCCAAACGTTATCCTACCCAGGCAGTACCCAACTTGGGAACAGATTTAATTTCAGTGTTGAAAAATCAATTAGGAATTCAGAACTTCCTCCTATTTAAACAAACATGCCAAAAAAAAAAGTATAAATAAAAAATTGGCCTTTCAGCTATTTATAGCCAAAGTCTTTTGAACTGAGAATGCAGCTGAAATATCTGTAAGAACTTGTGTGTGGAAATTTTCACCAAATTCTGAGAGAAATTATTTTATAAGAGCCTCAGAATTTGATGACACCCATTATTTAATTTTAAAGTTATTTAATTTTTGATGCAAATATGTTAAGATGCATACACATATGCATACATCTAATTTCACTGAATTCCAAGCTAAATTGATCCACTTTTAAGGGGCTCAGGTTTTGATGACATGTTTAGATTCTGTAACGTCTGATACATGTGTTCTTTCATCTGATACATGTGTTCTTTAGTAAGGTGTGATACTTAGTAATAAAATGAATACCTCTGATCCCACTGCCTAGAGGAAGAGAACATGCCTGATGTTTCCTGGCCCCACGTCCCTGTGACACACCCCGTCCCAACCCCTTCACTCCAGGCAGGCAGCCGTGCTCCTGCACTGTGTATTTATCTTTCTGTCACTTTTGTTTGCTGGTTGTCACGTTTTACAGCATGCGTGTGCCCACCTCAGTTCCGGCCTTAGGGCAGAAGCTGACTCTAGCTCTCCCCTGAGCCCTCTGCCTTCCATCATTGGTCTGAGTAGGTCTTTTGGTTTGGTTTTGTTCATTTGTTATTCAGCTCATAGAAGCTTTCAGAAGACTTGAAAAAATATTTTATTCAGCATTTTTAGTTGTTTTCAATGAGCACTGTGGCCAGGACATTGGGTCCACTATGTTGGTAGAAATGGAAGTGATCACATAGGGCTTTAAAATTTTATCCCTTTTGGTTCATTTCCACACTAATTTGCACTGTGGTTAGAGACTGTGGTTCATTTGAACTCGTTGTTCAGACTCTTTGGACTTGTTTCATCGTCTTGCATGTTGAGATTTTGCCAGGGGTTCAGCTTTGCTTGAGTGAACGTGTCTGCTCTGGCTGTGCAGTGAGCTCGGTAGATAGCCATCAGTTTGAGATTGTTCATTGTGCTGTTCGCAGCTCCCGCGTCTCTGTTCTCTTTCTGCTTGAAGGATGGTGTTGCTGGGAGCACCGCGGTTCTGGTTCAGAACCACATGGGAGTCGTTCTCCCTCAGAACTTCGGCGGTGTTCTCTGCTGTGTATGATCCCTGTGGCTGCTGTTGAGAAATAGCTGTCGTAGTCTATTCATCTGTCTCCTCTCTCTGGGTGGCTTTAAGATCCTTACTTGTCCTCAGTGTTTTGCAGTTTTATTACAAACTAGGTGGGATTCCCAGTTATTTTTCCTGCTTGATCTGTGTTGTGTGGCCAGGACCTCTGGGTTCCTGTCATTTTAATAGGTCCTGGAGATGTCTTCATTGGCGTCTGCTCAGATACTGCCTTTTCTTCCTTCTTAGTTATTCCTCCTGAGATTTCAGTTGAGATCTCCATCAGAACTTCTCAGACTGTATCTATTGACGCCTCTTTTTTGTTCTCAACTCCTGTCTCCCTGAGATCTGGATTCACAGAAATCTTTCAGATCACCAACCCCCCTCAGCTGTGGCCAATTTGATGTCTAGTGCATTTGTTGGATTTTTATTTATTTTTCAAGTTTTATCTCTCCCCCCACCCCCCGTTCTTCAGTCTGCCAGGCCATCTTTTGTGGCCCTTATTGTTAACTAATTTTTCTGTCCCCTCCTTTTTTTTTTTTTATCATTTCCGATGGGGTTGATGTCTCTATTCTGAATCCAAATTG